AGCCCAAACCCTGAACCCTAAAGCCAGGTTTTGAGGAAGTGTGTGACAGTTGAGTACTTGGTCACGTAGGTGAGGAGCTTGGCACTTGTAGAAGTGGGTAAAGTGCATTGTTTTTTAACATCTACATAGGGATCATGTAAGGATCACATTGGGATATAGCATAGGGATTCCTGCCACAATAAGGCAGAATCTCCCCTATACAAGAGCCCTCAAATGCCCAAAGCCCTCCTCAAGCGGCTTTTCGAATGGCCTGTAAAGCCTAAACCCTAAACTGCCAGATTGCTGACATGGCCATGGGCACCGATGGGACCAGTCTTTGCTTGGATCCCAGCACTACTTCGACTTCCGAGATCCCACTTAACTGGGTTGCTGTCAAGGAGCTTAGTTTAAGTTATTATATTGGGGGAAAACATCTTAATTGTTGTATATACCCATTATGGTAGCTGAATTTAAGTTCCTTATCAGCAACCCAGTGAAGGGTTTCTGGACATCACACAGTAGTAGGATAGGGTATGATATTCAGGGTTTGGGGTTCAAGTGGTATGTTCCAATGCCAACGAACAGAGTGACGTATGAATGACTTTGTAGGGATTCTATCAGGGTTTTATCTCGGGATGTAGGATGTTGTGTGTTACGGTACATACTCGCACGGAACCCATACAGTTACAGACATTCCTTGACGTGGAAAAAGACTTCCTAGGGCCTCCATTTTTGCTGGAATTTCCAAGAACCATTCAAGATGTTTGAGAGGCATATCCCTACAAGAAGTTCAGGGGCAGGCTGCATTTCCCTTTTTATCATCCTTGCGTGGACCTTTTAGGTCAAGGGGTATGGGTTTGGGGCATGAAGAATAGGTCTTAGAGTATTTTCGCAGCTCGCTGCCGGCCTCTGAAGGTATTTGCTGCTGCAACGCAAGTGGTCCCCAAATCCCAAACTCTAAACCTTCAATCCAAACCCCAAGCCATCAACCCTAAGCCCTGAACCCTAAACCCTCATTCCTAAGCCCAAACCCAAAACCCATGTGTTGCATACACCCCAAACCTGGAAGGCTCAATCAACATTCCTGGCGCTTCAAACCCTTGCATTCCAGCTTTTTCTCCTGAGGGCTTTAGGATTTAGAGCTTAGGGGTCAGGATTTAGAGGGGCGAACATGCTGAGGACCACACTTCTTTTTGAGGATGAGTATCGTTGATCCCAGCTGGCACACCTTTCCCCAGGCGCTGTATCTGGGGATGGCACTCTAGCCGTCTACGATGTGCGCAAGAGTGGAGAGAAGGCTCTTTGACTACTAGCTTATGAGATTGGGTTTAGGGTTTAGGACCCGCCCCCGGGGTTAAGGGATTATATATGGCTTAATAACGCCTCGTAGGATTCTCCATCTTGGGGAGTACTCTTCAGGGGATAGTCTTGTAGCCCGTAATACATGGGCTGGGAAGTAAATAGTTGGCAACTTGGGTATAATGGGCGTATATAGGGATGTAATCAGAATTGCTAACCATTTGAAATTTAGCTGGGGTTTAGGGATGGTTTGGGCAAGAGTTGGCTCGCTGAGCTTCAAGGCTGCTACCTTTGTAAGATCTTATGCTCAAGAGAAGTTAAGGCGAGCAAGAAAACTGGTACCCTAAAACCCAAACCGCTTTTCTTGCCCATTCCTTTGTTCCCAGCTATTAGAAAAGGTACGTTGGTTGTTCTAGGGGCAGCCTTGGCCTAATCTAGAAGCTTGAATACTTGCCAGTATCATGGTCCTTTGAGGCGGATATAGGGATTTTTTTGGGGGGTCAAATTCGGGGTTGATAGTTTTGGGGTTTGGGGTTTAGGGTAATGATAGGGATCAGGGAATCATTGGCAAAAAATTGCCCCGCATTCCTTGTCAAGGGGGACCTCAAATACCCCGCAAAACCAATAGTGTGAGTGAGTATTCACGTCCCGTGCATGATGCAATTCAACGGCGATTACATCCAATCTCCTTGCCGGATACAGTGCAGGAAGCAAGGGCTTCACGGCCCCGATGGCATGTTATCTGAAAGATGAGAATTATTCCTCCCCTCATGCTAGTATGAAGCACCCCCACCTACTAGCCCCTAAGCCCTAAACCCCTAAACCCAATTTGACTGGGGGCACACGCTGACCCCCATGCTTCCCTCCAACCCGCTCCCCAGTCTACAAAAGCAGTTAGGGTTTAGCGGTTTCGGGCCTAGGGATCCTCATCCATATACATCCTTAGCCCCTCCTGAGCCCTGAACGCTAGTTACTAATTCGTCCACGCAAGCCGCACTAATTACCCCAAAGCCTCAACCAACCTTAAACCCCTAAACCCTGAACCCGTAAACCCTCAATCTCAGCCCTTTCGCAGGGCCTCATCGCAATGTCCGACTTTCAGGATGATGAGCTTCTCTCCGTAAGCAGCCAAGTTGAGGGCTCCCAAGAGGGTTTAGGGTTTAAGATTTAGGGCTTAGGGGCTTAGGGTTTAGGGCTTAATCAGGATTTAGGGTTTAGGATTTAGGGTGGCTCTGCAATTATTCCTACTGAGGGAATTTTGGGTGATAACTTCCCTCAGCCCTTATCCTGAAACCGCAGAGCCTCATCCTCCAGCTGAAGTCTGAACCCAGAAGTGCCTGAACCAACCCAATATTGTTTGTGAGTATATGTGATGAGCAAGGGCTTGTATGGGGATAGAAGGGCTTTTGCATGATAGCACCTAACCCAAATCATAAACCTCAACCCAAGTGAGAATTACTAAGCATCTAGCTCATTCCCAGGCCACCGAGGTACAGCTGTTCAGGTCTCTAATGCCGGCGGCCGAAATGAAATGACCCCTTTCCCCTAAGAATACGTCTTCCTAATATACTACAATATCGGGGTCTCTCAAAAGGGGCCCTTTAGGGACCCCAAGGGATAGGATCGGGATTGTTAGGGGGTTATGGGAATTATCGGGGGCTTCTGATTTTTTGGAGGCTTTAGAGGAGTCCTCTCTACAGATACCCCCATGTATTACATCTTCGGTGAGGATAGGGTAGCTTCATAGAGGATTTGGGGTTTAGGGTTCCAGATCATTCCATACACTGCCAAAACATTCCAGAGCCTTTTTCAAGCTTCAATGCTCCCAAAATTTCACAAACCTACCCAATCCTTCAAGCCTTCAACAACTCACCCTGCACTCTAAACCTTAAACCCCAAATTGCCAACTTCCTAACCTCGCAGAAAGTAAGAACCTTTGGCTTGAATTGGGGCTTCATATGGGCTACTGTCGATCTTAGGGCAAGAGATCGTTCAGGGTGGACAGGGATCCCGCCTGTAGTTTAGTATTTAGTATAGCTCCGAATATATTCCTCAACAGGAACCCATGTCCATTAGTTTTATGGGGAAATCTTGATTGTAGCTCATATGCAATAGTCACTTTGCTCTGAGCAGTAACTCCCAGTATACTGCAACACACTATGAACTATACAGGGGGTGGGGGGGAGGGCGTCGGGTGTGTGGGAAGGGGGGACGCGGAGGTTTTGTGATAAGGCGAGGGGAGTAGTTCTGTTTCAGCCTGCATGACCCTAAGTACCATATACCTTGGGGCTGTAGCTGATAGTATACTATGATATTATACTACTAAGACGATGCAGGATTTTCAGTAGGGAAGGAGGAATGGATCCCTATAGCAGCCCATAGCCCATATATGATCTCAAAGGAGACGGCCATCATTCCACCCAAAGCTCTAGACCCTAAACAGTAGATAGCTTGCCTATACTTTTCTTAAGCCACCAAACCCTAAACTAAACCTTGAGACAGAAAACGCCCTGATTCCTACACTTAACCAGCTACCAGCAAGCGTTCCAATAAGCTGAGCCGAGATTGCCATCGTCAAGCAGGGGAGCAAGGTTGGGGGTTGGGTCCTGGTTCGGGGTGTAGGGGTTTAGGGTTTATGGGTGTTAAGGAACTTAAGCTAAGTTGCCATAACATGGGTATGCAGTAAATCATTGGCTTTCCTTATCATAGTAACTTAATTTAAGTTCGTTGACAGCAATCCCGTTGTTGGTACCCTAACTTCATGAAGTCTACTTTGCATACGCCAGGGTTTAGGGCTTACGGTCTAGGATGAAGTCTACTTTCTGGTACTTGGGCGTCACTGATGGATCAGGGTTCTGAACTATTGTACCTTGCCCAGGTTAGAGTACCCACGTTTAAAGGGCTCAAACAGAGTTTTCATGGAGTTTTTCACAGGATAAGTCCGCATGTTATCTAGCTGCCGGGTCCTTCCAAGTGTGGCTTAGTAGCCGGGTAGCTGAGTAGGTAACCTTAAACCTTTGTGGCCCATAATTTCTCTCACCACAAACACCGGAAAGAGGTCATGAAGTCTTCTAGGGGTTGTCCTGAAAATGCTTGTTGTTTTTTGCCTAAACGCCGCAACCCTAAACCCAAAATCCAAATGAACCCTCAATAAAGGATGGAAATAATGTTTCACAAGGGTTCCAGTGCAGGCAGCATCTGAAGGGTTCGCGTTCGGGGCAGAGAACATATGTCACCATACGCAGTTTTAATGCTTACTTATTTATCTGGCGATTTACCTATTTGTGCTAACATGTCGCTGACAGGTTGCCTGAAGTCGCAAAAATGTCTTTTCTCTATCCAGTCCGGCGACAAATGCCAGTCAGAAGTTGTGGTTGCTGGGCCCTAAACCTATGGAATTCCTAAAGTGGACGCCATTCAGGGGGCTCCATACCCGGGAGAGCTTTCAGGACTCAGAGAGCCTTAGGGATGTCTTAGGGATGCGTTACTATAGGCCCCCCGTTACTTAGGATTCCTTGAGCAACAGGACCCTTAACCCTAGACCGTAAGAGCAGCCTTGAAATTCAGAGAATGAACCCAGCATTTCATGCATTCTCCCGCCAAACCCCCTACACTCCCCCTTGTTCAGGGGTTGCAGGCTTGACTTAAAGTAAATGTAGGTTAGTTGCGGGGAAATCCAGTAGTGGTATGGTGTGTGGGAGTGTTAGGGTAACCCACAAAATATGCGTTGGCAGGTTATCTGCGGCACGCAGACGGGCCACTAACTCAGAGTTTGGGGTTCAGGCTTCAGGGTTCAGGATTCGTGGTGTAGGGACTCGAGGCGGTAGCCCTGGTGGAGCTTTTCGAGAGCATTCGGGGCTTGAATCGCGGGTCAGAGTGTTCGGTTCCGGGGGAAGTTTCAGGACGCAGGTAGCAATTTTAGAGTTTCTGCTGGCTCCTCCATGGCCCATCCATAAGGACGCTGAGAGTTCTAACATAGGTATGGTCCTGCAGGATGTACATACCTTTGCACATGCCTGAACATTGCAATCCGGCGGTTGTCCGCAAGCTTTCTCAGGAAGTCGCTTCAGTAAGCCCCACGCAAGCATCTCTATTTAGGATTTACCTTGAGATAGGGAGGGGGCATGGAGGTCCCATTCAAGTTTCGTGGGCTGCGAAACTGAGAAGTCCTAACCGTACAAGCCACGATCCTACACATGTCGCATTCCCGATCCTTGGGTGAGCCTCTATGCGTTCCGGGTGTAGGGTTCAGGATTCCTGATTTAGAGTTTAGGGCAGTCTGCGCAGGCAGTACTGAGCTTCAAAGACTTCCTTGCACATCTTGTAACGCACAAGCCTAGACCTTTTCCGCCAGCACTTCATATTGTCCCAGAGAGCCCACTGCATATCAACCAGATGACACCAGATTTTTTCATATTATTACAGGATATAGGGACCCTAAACTCAATCCAAAACAGCTAAGCCCCAGGCTCTCTGCGCATTTTCCATACCCCTGTGTAATACCCGTGTATATATATATATATCTATATCCCCATATATCTTTATGTACCGCTATGTTATTGGTTTAGGGTTTTGCTTCTTGACCCTAAACCGCCCTAAACCTTATGTTGCCAGGCCCCTTGCCCATCTTCAGCTGGGGGGACTTCGGTGATCAAAAGGCCTCGCAGCATGGGATCCAGTACGGTAATGTTTTAGGTTTAGAGTTTGGGGTTTACGGTTTTGGGTTGAGAGCTTTAGGGTGAGGGATTTATAGGTTCGGGGATTCGGATATTTAGGAAACTGCGCACGGCCTCTAGATAGCCGCAAGTTGTTTCGTATCACGTGGGAGGATCGCATCAAGGGCCACCCGATGAGCGTGGACGCCATGGTGAAGCTCACAGAGGCACGGTTTGGGTTTCGGGTTCAAGGATTCGGTTAAATGGGAGCTTCCCCAAAAAGGAGTACCCTTAGACCCAGGGCTGCATAATGCACAGGGACTATATGAGGATTATGGGGGTTCTTATGGAAGATTATGTAGGGATTATTTTGTGACGCACGCAAGTAGAGATAGTTATGGTGGGATCATGCTCAGGATCCATTCCCCGCTGTGTTTAGGCGCAGTAAGGAAATTGATACGCTTGTGCTGCTTGCCTTTGCATGTAGAGTTCTAAGCACAATGAGTCAAGCAGATGCCTGTAGCCAATTTATGTAGCCATCCATGGCGATCCACAACTCAACTACAACCTTTCAGCTGTTTAATGGGGGAGGTGACCCTTAATTATCCTTATAACTGCACGCTTAACATGCCTCAGATCGACTGAAGCGACCTTGGAAATGACAGCTGCAACGCCTTGTCTCCCAGACCATTACACACATTGAACCCCAAACCCTTAAACCCTCTTCCATAAACCCTTAAACCTAGAACCTACATACTTGCGGGGGTTTCTCAATAGTGGTCCCTATGCATGACCCTTCAGGGCCCTTCCTATAAAACAATACGTCCTATAAGTGCCCTGTATATCCCTAAGGTCCCGCAAAGGCCCACATTTTCGAGGAACTCCCGCGTCTGCAGCAAATTTCCAGAGCGGCAGCCCTGTAAATGCTGCCCTTACGGCTAACTCAGCCCTAAGCCCTCGAACCTGAACCAACTCGATCTCCCAACCTCTCTTCAAAGACCCTCTACAGACAGATGCAAGTCTATGTTGTTTACAAAGTACATGGTAATACATGACACCCCATCCTAGTACATAACTTGCTACTATTATGGTACGTGGACTGTGCTACATTCTAGTGCCTTGAACAACAACAAAGCAAAGACGACAACGACGACGAGGAGGAGGACGAGGAACGAGGACGAAGACGATGGGAGTGAGGACGAGGATAAGGACGAGGACGAGGACGACGACCGACGACGAGGAGGAGGAAGAGGAGGACGAGGACGAGGAAGAGGAGGAGGAAGAGGAGGAGGACGAGGACGAGCACGACGACGAGGAGGAGGAGGACGAGGAGGAGGAGGACGAGGAGGAGGAGGACGAGGACGGGGACGACGACGTCGACCAGGACGACGACCAGGACGACGACCAGGATGACGACCAGGACGACGACCAGGACGACGACCACGACGACGACGTCGACGACGACGACGACGAGGACGAGGAGGACGAGGACCAGGAGGACGAGGACGACCACAACCACGACAACGACCACAGACGACGAGACGACGACTTCTGAACGTACATTACCATGTTCCTCCTTCTATAATGAATGCAATCAGTATTAGTACAGTTATGACCACCTCTATCATTATCTTCATTAAAAGTTCAGATAATTACCCTCTAAGCCCTAAACCCTATAATGTACTCACCCACTCCTTGTCAGGATGGGATCCTAACCGGTTCCTCCGATGGAAAGATCCGGGTAGTTGCTGTGCACAGCAAACGTCCATACCTGAGGGGAAACAGGGTTTTTGGAGGTCTGAAGTTCTAAGGTCTTGGCATGTACGGTTCTGGGTTCACTAAATCCTAGATTTGTTTTGGGTTTCCTGAAGTGTCAGGGAGATCAAAGTAGGACAAGCAAGAGGATCACTAGTGTTGTGATGTGATTGTTGGCATAGATGGGTGGTTTAGGGTTTCGGGACCCCTGTAAACTTCAAGTCTGGCATGGGGACCCACAAAAATCCTAGACCCTCTCTGGGTCATGGGGGTTACAAATTTCAGTATACTTACTAAGTCCCGCTGCCCCCCAAGTCTGGCTATGGGTTAGGTTTGGGGTTTGGGGTATAACCACGGGCTTTGAGGGCACTACTGGAGATTCAAGAATACGAGGAAATTGGTTACCCAAACCCCCAGAATGAGGGGCCTTAAACAACTAGACTAGGGATTTGAGTATGATCTAGAAAGTTTGGATAATGATTCGGAAGGGGTATTACTACCAATCATCCCTAAAACCCAAACCCTTAAACCGTGTCTGGGGCGAAGCATGGGGCTTGGGACTGTTGCTTGGTTAGACAGTGGTCCTCAGAAGCAGCAAGCCCAATCGTAGGCCTAGAACAGATTCTGGCTCACTCCAAAGTCACAGGGTCAGGTCTGGAGTTTTGAGCCAAGTTTGTGCGAGTTTTCATTTTATCTTTGCCCTCTGTGTTTTGGATTTGCCTAGCTTTGACGCTTTAGGGTTTAGGGTAACCGGTTCAGGGTTTAGGGCCCAGGCTTCGGGGTTTAGGGTTGGGGTTAAATGGGACATCCCTGTCCGTGGGCTTGGTTGTTGTTCTTTTTGTTGACCCCTATGTTTTGCTTGGCGCTGTGCAGGGGTCTAAGGAAATTCAATAGGATTCGGGGAATATTCTACCATTGAGTTACGCCGGGCTTATTGAAGAGTTGGGAAACCTTCAGGCTTTTAACGTAGGCACTTCCAACAAATCCCAGATGAGTTACTGTCAACATCATGCCTACTCAGGGACCATTAAGAGTGGACATGGGGAACCCTTCCAAGTATAGCACAGTATGGTATGGTATAGTACAGTCCCCAACATGTTCCCTGGTAAGGATCCCTGTCCAGCAGAAATATTGACTGTAGCTCAGATAGCTAGTGGCCCTTCCTGCCGTCTGCAGCCTCATCCACAGGGAAGTGTGAATTTGCCGTCGCCAGTAGTTCTGGATTTTCTACTTGGAGGCTCATGGGATCTAGTAACTACTTCTGTACTGCTCCTCCAGCTTCCCGTTAGTTAGCCTTGAGTAAGCTTAATCCAGCGGGATCCGCAAAGCTAACACCCTAAGCCCTGTGGTAACAGAGGGGGGTAGAGCCAAGACAAGGTGTCATTCCAACGATTACAGCACAGAGCAAGGGTGTAGGATTAAGAGGTTAGGGCAGTGCTTCCAGCTTTTTCTGGAGCTTCAATTAGGTAAGGGTTGCAATACTAGTACTCCTATAAACGCCCTCACAAGCCCAGTTTCCATGTCACCGTCTATTTTCTTTTCCGTTTGATCCTCCGTTCTTGAAACCCTAAATGCCTCATATCCCCTTCTGAGCCCGGGGTCTCCCAAACCCTTAACCCATAGTATCTCCCTTGATAACCCTTACATAGCAGTCCCCTGTATAATCCCACATAAAACCCCCTTGGTCCTGATTTCTTGCAAGCTCCCCTGTTGACCGCTGTAGCGGATCAGAAGAAGCAGGGAAGGGATACGATCCAATCTGCCATGGATGCCTCTTCCTACGATGGGCTGCATCTGGGGCGGGTCAGGGAAGATTTTCGAGCTTAGAGCTTAAGGTCTAAGGTTCAAGGAAGTATCAATCCCTAATATTGGCCGGTAGCCTGTCTTGCTAGGGGCCCTTTAAGGGTTTGTACAGGGTATATGACCAGGATAAGGAGTCCGTACTAGGGCCCCATGCTTTCAAGCTTTGATTTTTGAGTGTGTTCAGTGTGTGTCAGGTGCGCGCGCGCACTCCACACCCTACCGTAAACCCCTAAGTGCAGCCTCTCAGGATTCTGTATTTACCCTCTGGCAAGAAAATTGCAATTAGCGCTGACGAAGCAGCGGAGATTGCCGAGACCTGGGATAACACCGTCAAGAGCCTGAAGAATCTTGATCAGCCAGCTGTGGTACCGGAGTACCAGCGGGATTTAAAGTTGGGTTTTAAGTACACCTAAACATGGCTTATGGTTATACTGAACCTCCAAGTAGGGATCAGGGGTTTGGGGATGCAGTTGGATAAGCATTGGGCAGGGCACAGGAATATTGCCGGAATGAGGGCGCCTTGATTGGCGTCGGTAGTTGGATACCCTAAGCCCTAAACCCTAACCTCAAAATCCTTTATTGGGCCGGGAAAACCAGAAACAAGTAGTACGTCATCGCTTATAGTCCCTAAGCCCTCAAAACCTTAAGCCTGATGCATAGATGCCTTTTGAACAAAGGCTGGCCACCCATTTAGGATTTAGGGCTAGGATGAAGAGGTAACCCCGACACAGCGGAGAATGAAATGGGAAAGAAAGTGCAAACTGAAATGGAGACTGGGAGTATCCAGGAGTTCATGGGCATCATGGTTTTGGAGGTATATGGCGTGTGTGATCTCAACGTGTCGGTAAATCATTCAGGGAGTTTGTAGATCTACAAGGGGAAATATTGGAAACTATGTTTCGATAATGGCCAGCTTGAGAACAGGAATTCTGATCAACTAGCATATGTGAGGTTCAGCCCCCAGATACTAAAGACACACTAAAGCGAACTTGTGTGTACATGGACGCTGAAAGCAGGGCTTAGGGGTTTAGGATTGTATTGTTGTAGGGCACAAGGTTTAGGGATGAAACTGCAGAAACCACCCCAGCAAAAACGTACATGTTGGATACGAGGGCATACTACAAGGCTTATCGTGGACTATTACTGCATGGGGCCTGACCCTAATTCATGTGTATTGTCAAAGCAGGTTTTTATCTCTGTGAGACCTTCTTTTTGCAACAATCTGCCAGCTTCAAAGCCCTGACCCTCACAAGCCTTAGACCCTACATTCTAACCCAGATGAAGATGAACATGAGGTTCATACCTGCAACATATGACGAAGAAGTAGTTAGGTCCAGGGCCCAAGCCCGCTGAAAGTTTAGAATAGCTTTTCAATTTTCGTTCTAAAGCCCACTGAGGAATCTACCTTCGTGTTTTCAATAGTATCAGTGTCCCAATAACGAACCAGAATACACCAAGCCCTGCGAGAGAGCCTTGACCAAGAATTTCTTGCAAATCCCTACATTCGTGGGTTCCGCTAATTTAGGGTTAATTAGGCCTAATTAAGGGGGAACCTCGGGGAGGGTAGTATGGGGGGGTAGTAAGGGAACCCATGACAAATCCTAAGCTTCCGACCCAGGAAGTTCTTGCAAACCCGTCTGGGGCATTCCCGCTTCCGCCAGCGGCTGCTGCGCGAGGTCTGCACTTCGGGGTAGACGCTCAGAGTTTAGGGGTTCGATAGTAAAAGTCAGCACAAGTAGTATTTTTGGTCAGGGCTTTTTGGCAGTTATCGGCAGGTTTCCAATATTCAAGTGATCCTTTCTGGGAGTCCCCACAAAGAGGGTTAGCGTCGGTTTGGGTCTTTATTATGACATCTATGGATCCGACCACTGAGTTGAATAGATTTGGAAGGTTTAGCCCCAAACTCCAAACCTCCAAAATATCCCCAAAAGTCTAAGCCCAAAACTCCCACCCTAATCCTAATGAAATCTCCCGTTTTGGGCCTATTGGCTTTAGGGGTTAGGGTTTTAGGGTTTGGGGTTAGTTTTGAGGGTTTTGAGGTTCAGGACTTAGGGGCCGTAGAATCCAGATTACAACGCCTTTGCAGCTAAGAAACAGTCAACATAACCCAGGAGCATGCCCCCTTCAAGAAGTTAAGGAGACCCTATAGGGTTAAGGGGTATGGCTTTTGGGGTAGGCTGAGTACTTCTTAGATCTGTAACAGCCCTAAGCCCTAAAGCCTAAAGCCAGTACTCATGGACCATCCAACAAACTCCACGTCAGGATGGTTGCATTCTGGCAGATGAGGAAGCCCTGCAGCTACCAGACAGCTTGCAGCTTGTGCCTGGGATTGACTTACCTATGAAGGAATGAAGAATGAAGTTGACATTTTTTTGGCTTAGGGTATAGGGTTTAGGGCCTGGGGTTTAGGGTTTAAACAAGTATATTATTCGGGTTATATAGAGACTACTCTAAGGATCCATTCCATCGTTCCTTGCTAACTAGAGGAAAGTTGAAGATAATAACCTTACTGCCTGGTAGCTTAGCTTTACATCGCCTTTTGGGGCAACATAAAACAGGCTAACCTTTGAACAACCCTAGAAACTGGGCACAAAGGACAGGGAGAAGATAATGATGATACGGACCTTCGGAAGGAGAGACGTTGTAGTGCCCATTTTGAGAAGCCAACAGTAGGGCCGTAGAATCCGACCGCTTTGTTAGTGGCATCTGCCTGTCAACATCGCAGCAACTCTGCTTAATGTAGAGGCCCGGAAAATGAGCAAAGTTACGGTCCCAGATTCATTTCATCACTATGGTGCGGGATAACTACCTTAAACAGGCCTCAAACTGATATAGGTAGTTATTGAGGCCAGTACAGTAGCGGGATTGCAAGTCTTGCACACGTGGGAGATGTCGGATTTTACCGTTGACCAGGCTTAGGCTTGGAACCCTCAACCCTGAACACTCAACCCCTTAACCCCCTACCTCCTTAGCCCTTAAACCCCTAAACACTACTTC